ACATACACACACACATACACACACACCCTTACAATTTTGTAATAAGCCATTTGCAATACAATCTGATCTATTTTCAAAATACTTTTTAGGCATAAGGATTTCCTGCTAAGCACTCATCAGGCAAAATAATTTATTTTTCACTTGCTAAATCCGCTTTGAAGCAAAAGAATAATACTAATGATAATAATCGACAATAAAAAAAAAGTGAATCATTCTTCATTATAATTAAGAGCCACACAGGCATGACTCAACATCCATGCACGCGTGACTATGAGATCATTTCGGGCCAGGTGTTAGATACAGCAAATATTTGGAATACAGCAAGATACAGCAGATAAAACTAGGGCAGGATATATATAAACACACATATGGTCTCATGGTGATGAACAGCAATCAATGCTACAACAAAACACACATCCATTAAATATAGGACACATTTAAAAAACACACAAAAAAATCTCGTTCCAATAAAATATCTGCAAGGGGGATCTTGGAGGGTGGAAGTGGTGGGGGGGGCGGCCAAAAAACTACCGGACGAGACATGTTACTGCAAGTAACTTTCAAAAAAAAAAAAAAGTTAAAATCTATTTAAGACACTGTAACAAGGGCGGTGGGTGGGCGGGAGGGGGGGCTCAAAAAATGCTTAAAAGAAAATAGGTAAAAATAATATATATAAAAAACGAAAAAAAAGACTATGAACAAAAATACCTCATCTTTTTTGTTCTTACCAGTTCTACTCTCCGACCTATGAACCTTACCCTCCACTCTATGCAGACGAAGGTCGGTAAAGCTACGTTTGAGCTGGCTAAGGACCCCTACGGATGAGAATACATTTTACTTTGTTAGTCCAAAGCTACGGCCAAGTTACCTTCACAGCACGCTGTTAGACTTCAGCTATTAAAATGCTCTACAGTACAATAGCATTTCTCTTTGGGATATCATTAGTTATAAATGGGGCTCTTGCATATTTGCGTATCTATAGTCTGGAATACAGATTGGACATTTTTTTTCTCCTGTAAATAAAATGCTTAAAACCATTTGGAAGTTTTGCATATATGGTTATGAACTGTTTGAAGGAATCACTTTTCACACGTCAATATATATCCTTTTGAAAAAGTAAAAAAAATTGAAGAGTGCTTGCAGTGGTACCATATCCCATGAAGAAATATACAGAGAGTTAAAGGAAAGCATGAACCTTACCTACCACTGATATAAATCAAACGTTTCTCAAAAGAAAAAGATAAATCAAATTGACAACAAAAAATTGTCTCTAATCAGTTTTCATAATGGAGCTATTTAGATTTATTTTCTCTCCTAACGTATTTGATACAAACTCATTTTCAAAGAGAAACCTTGGTAGAAAAGAAAAAAAAATAAAAGAAAAAAATGAAACAATATGTACACAGCAAAAATCATATCCATTTTGTATAAATCAATAGTAATTTGAAACTCTTGTCAAACTGGGAACAACACAATGGCCTGTCCTTCTTGAGTTACTGGTGTTTGTTTTTAGATCTATATTGAAGGACTGAGCAGTTCTGTTCAGACATTTTGAGATAACTTTAACATCTTAAATAATTTCCATAAGTATTATCTATAAAATTACTTTTACATTTAATACATATTCTAAATTACCTCTCCATCTATCACACTACTTAATCTTGATATTAACTGTCCAAGGTCTGCTTGCAGTCCTTACCAATAAATCTCCTTAAAACATTTTCCAGACAACAGAACAGCCACACAGTAAGACACATATACACACAGCCAACATGGGAGTAACGTGGATGTTTCACAGGTCAACTAATGGACTCACTGATCGATGCATATCTCAACATGCACAATGTAAAATAATAGTATAAAGCTAACAGACCTCACACCAACGTCTTTTTTCTATTGATCACACAGAAGACTAAGAATAGGAGGAACCTAAAATTCTCTCCCTAAACTGTCATGTCCCTGTTTTCAGATGTTAAGATTCATTGCATTTCAATTTTCCCTAAATAAAAAAAATCATGAACTCATAAATCCTTCAATCTTGGAATCCTATCAACAAAACAACATTAATAACAGGAATGTGTGTATATCTTCATACACAATATCTCCAGTCATATATCATGCATTTGAATGCATTTCACCTCTTCTTATCACAGACCCTTGCTCAGCTAGAGTCACGCAAAATTTGAAATCCCTCACAATGATACGAGAAACAACATCCGTATATGGCTGTCGCAGAGAGTTCCTACTCATACTGATCATAACTGTTTCCTTGGATAAAATGAATCAATACAAGTAGTACTACACCCAAAATATGTTTGCGATCTGCCATCCCAACAATCAAGAAAAGTAGTAAGGACCATTTTTCAACAAATTGAAGTTCCTGCACTATATGTAACTTTCTAACATGCATTGTAGTTTTAACCTTACTTCACCAAAATTGCAATTGCAATTTACTGAAGGAAGGCAATATTACTCAACTAAGTATTCAGCAAGAGTAAGACTTCATTAAAAAAAACAATATATGAACATACTCATTACAAATTATGTATATAAGTGTGCATACATTCACACATTCACATATTCACACAAACATACACACACAGATATATATATATATATATATATATATATATATATATATATATATATATATATATATATATATATATATATATATATATATATATATATATAAATTTATCTGTATATGTATACACACACACACATATATATACACACACTATCATACCTCTTATAAATTCTTAAATACATATGCAAAATAAATATAAAGGAAGAGAGGGCATTATAATCCTTATAAAGACTAACAGTTCTAAATAATAATATTAATCATATATCTATTATCAGAGAGGCATTGCTAATATTTTCCATTCCATGACGAAAAACAGATCATGGAATATTAACAAAAAGTTTCTCAATGTCGTTATAGAACTTAAAAGAATAACAGTAGTGAATATCTCCATTGCATCTATTGTTCATATCCAAAGAATTTACATGATTGTTATAGATGCTTAACTTTGTAATTAAACTTTTTTTTAAATTACTGTTTTGGTAATAGTGAAACAGTGTGATAGCTTACTTGTCAGACTTGTTTCATTTGTTTTAGAACACATTTAGATTAGCTAACCCTTATAATGTTTGGGCATTTTGTCAAGGTATATGGATGTTTTAACTATAAGGGAAACATAATCAAAATCTTCAATAAGGAGGAATAAATTTTGGAAAGGAATATGGAAATGTTAAATTTGAGGGAAATATGATGAAAAAATCTACTGATTTTCTAAAAATATTCATACTTTCATATTCATCTTTCATCTTTACATAAATAAATAAAAATCTAATCTAATTCAAGAAATAGATAAATCACAATTGCGTGGTATTTTTCAAAGCTTGCTGTGTCCTTTAGCAGCCTTATATTTTATACCTGATTGCACTTAATACTATTTGGTTTAAGATCACAGTTTTCTGTGTTTGAACATTAACTTGGTTTTATAAGAGGGATGTTAGCATCTCTGAAAGATGTGTGTGTGTATCTGTGTATGTGTGTATGTGCACACACCAGGCAATTGCACTAAGGTTCAGGCTCACACACACATCATTGTCCATTATGGCTGGTATCTCTGTACACACACACATCACACATACATACATACATACATGCACACACGCATGCGCACACACACGCACACACACGCACACACACACACACACACACACACACACACACACACACACACACACACACACACACACACACATACACACATACACATTCACACACAATCACACAGTGTTATGTAAGTATGAGGTTGTACAGTATACTCGGTTATTATATCTGAACCAAAATTAATCTTCAGAGGTGTTTCAAATCAATGCACACAAAGTCATCCTTCTTCATGGTGCAATGTCATCTATATAAGTATCAGTTTCAGCCATCATCATGATGAGCAATTGTGAGACCACTCTCAAGGTCAGCATTCAGACGTATACACAGATGTGGACAACAATGTGATAACATCAAAGAGAGGGATACATTGTTTTATATTCCAAGCATGGCAGGAACACAACTGCCAAAATAAAAGGGGTTTGAAAGCCTTCGTCTCCAACAACTTAGAACGTCAGAATACAAAGTGGCAGAGACTGGGGTCCTCAGGGTTTTTAGGTGATTGTAACTAATTAAAATATTTCCAATATTTCTTGAGTGTCAGACAAATGCAGGAACAGGGCTAAATGGTGACTGCATGGCAGGTTTAGGGTGTGGTGAAGGGTCACAGCTGCTTACCATAACCTGGGGATATGTCCGTTGACCCAGCGGCTGGGATGGAGAATTAACTTAGGTTTAGATACTGCAGTACATAGTTCATCTAATTACTATACTTATGGTTTCACAACCCCAGTGAGTGTTGCATGTCTAGATCTAAAACAAATGGATAAAAAAAAAAAAAAAATCTTCTACAGTATAGAATCTCAATCCCTCATGCTGTAAAAATCTTCTACAGTATAGAATCTCAATCCCTCATTTCACAGCATGAGTTGACTCGTGGTGTAACACCCTTTCACACATCTCTGTCCTCAATTGACACAACTGTCGCTTGGAGAATAGCTCACTGTAAGATATTCAGAACTGTTGAATCAATAAAAACTGTATAATAAACAGGGAAGAAACATAACCAACTAAGGAAACACAGCAGTTACCTATTGTTGAAAAATAACAGAAACATGAAAGCTGTAAGAAATTGTTCAGGGTGGTAAACTTTTCCCAGGTTCTAGTACTTACCAGTTATGGAGTTGAGGGTTCCTGAACGTTGTTTATGGTCGAAATGTTGGTTTATTGGACTCCCATCTGGCCCTACTTTGTCAGGTGAGAATTCACCAACACCTCGCCCAGAGTCAAGGTGTTTGTCATCACTGTAGGAAGAGAATCAGGTACAGTCAACTTTCACTATTAGAAACAAACAAAAAAATATTACTTGAATGATACCTTGAGGGAGTAAAGCTTAAGAAAATGTTTACTTCAAAATCAAGATTATATGCACAAAAAGGGATCTTGAAATTCTAAAAAGAAAAGGTGATGATTTTTTTATTATTTTGGGGTATTCAGGACACTTCCATGACATTAAAATAATGTCTGCTATTTCTTGTTCATAATGTGATAATGTACATTTTTTAAACAGAAAAAAAAATATATATATATATTTTTTATACTACACTATTGAAATGCTGACTTAGAACTCAAGCATAACAATTATCTCCAAAGATCTCTTATAATGAATATTTCTGGATAGATGGAATTAAGTGATTTAAAAGTGTTTTTTTAATACAATATGATGTCTTGTTAGTGCTCGCATCAGAAAATATATATTCTTATATAAATATATATATCATACTAAAACCATCATCTTGTTGTCACATAAAGCAGTTTGAATATGTTTTGGACATTACTATAGAGTATTCTGCTACTAATTAGTTATACTGTCACAACTTATAAAATAAATAGATCATATATTTCAAAACACATTCAAAAAGCTGATTATCTATAAATTGAGCTCTATGTAATATCATTCTCATGTTCATATCAAATTCTTATACATGACAATGTTCTCTGTGTGCATCAGAAAGTATTTTGTTTTCAAAAACACCTATCTTCATATGAAAAAGAAAATATATATGAAGATTGACTAAAAGACACACAATACCTAAAATCTAAGGAAATGTATAACTAACATTAGCTATTTCATGACAGAACTGGATACTGAAATAACTACTAAAATGGTACTTGAACAAGACATTAAGTATCCTTAGTATGATACATCAAGTTCTTACATCATTTCCTTCTGATTTCCTACCATGATGAAACTACAGTAAATAGTAAAAACACACATACAAATGGATATATCAGTGATGGTTTCTCTCTAAAACTATACACATTCTTATGACCTACTTAACACATAAGTGTATGTACCAGTTGAGCTGATAACTCTTTATTACTTTTGCCAAACCAACGGATAAACTGACCATTTGTACTAACAATACGAATAGGATTAAATGTCTGACTGAGAACTAAAAGGTGGATTGCAGGGGGAAAAAATATAGGTAGATAATCAGAAGTACTTGATTAAGAAAAATTACACGTCAACACTGATGCTTGTAAAACACACTAACAAATTAGTATCCGTGTGATAACTTACTGTTGGTGCATAACCTCTGTGCTGGAGAGACTTTGATCGCCCCCAAGACTGTTAGAGGAAGCACATGTATTATAAACACCGTCAGTGCATTCCTAGCGAGCATTTCAAGCAATTAGTTACAAGCCCCACCCCCCTTTTATGAAAAAAAAAAAAAAAAGAGAAAGTGAGAAAGAAAGCTTGATGACAACCCTTCCCCTCTTTAGAACTAAAACATAAAGAAAAAGAGAAAGAGAGACAGAAAGGAAAGCTCATGCTGAAAAGAGAAACAAAGCTTCAGTTAAAGGAAATGTATCTCTGGCTTTGGGCATGATTATTAGGATCTTTTCTGATAGCACACGTAGTGAAAGCAATTACTGCACTCTAAGAAGAAATCTGGAGAGGCGAATTGACCTGTATTATATCCAAATGCATGAAAATGAGATACTTTGTATGTAACTACTGAAAAAAAAGTAAGTGCAGACAAAATGCAATGCAAAATTTTTTGTTAAAGACACGTTGACATAACCAGTATCACATCGGGCATTTGGTATATAGCACAGCAATTTCTGTCTAATAAACTAATTTATTTCTTAGTGAAATGAATGTAATGTATGGGCATGAACAGGAAGTTTTGAGCAAATTTGTGTCATTTGTTGAAATAAGGAATGATAGATGTGATAACACTCTAATTAGTTAAGTGATTTTAGTCAATTTGTTTAATAAAATTTTGATAAAGTAGCTTAAACTGCACAAGCTGCATAACATCATTATAACTGTCTATGATCAGTTTTGATTTAGATGATACTTGGCAAATACCCAAAAATGCTTTATAAAACAGATATGAATGGAATCACTCTGGTAAGTTTATTTACAAAAGTTTATGTTTTTGACATTATTGATAAGATGATAAATAAAATGGGCCTGATAAGTTTGTCAGTCAATAAAAGGTAAAATCAGGCAAGGAAGCAAATTATATGATTCTGTCATATTATCCCTGGGAAGTAGCTACGAAAAATTATTTTTTATGTCAAATGCTATTTAATAAAACAGTTGTAATCATGCTTGGCAACAAGATAATATAAAGGTATGTAAAGAAGTCTTCAAAAAAACTGGTAAACTGAATTAAATCAAAATCAAGGTGTGATAAAATTTGGGATCCGATCATAATAGACTGATCTTTCTTTTTTTTTAATATGTGAAAATTAACAAATCATAATAAATTAATTATTTCTGTGTTTTGGATTGAGCAATGTGGAATCAAAAAAGACATTTCACTACTGTAGCAAATGCACAAAAACAATCATAAAATATATAT